ATATATATATATATTGATTGGTTTGTTAACTAACAAGTGCGGCAATACTGTACGGAGAAGCTGTTTGGCCGGTGAAGGCAGACTTCGCTTCGACTGAGTACACAACCTCTGTTCCGTGGAAGGCATCCCAATACGCGTATTTGGACCGATCTTCGCAAGCCGACCGGTTCGCTGCACATAGACCTTGTGCCGGGTCGACCGTGCAACAACTCTCGTTCCTCAACCCTAAATATTTTTATAATAAATATAATTAGATATCAGAAAATAAAATGTATATTATCACTACGGGGGAATCTTATTACATTGATGATTTATTTTTAAATATTCATTTTTTATAATCAAATACCATGGTATTATTTTAATGCGCTTAGATTTGAGATGTAGTCGAATACTATTCTTAATAAACACGTATATTGTTAGAGACACTACAAAAAAAGTGGTCATTTCCAACGGGTAAATCCGTTGGAAATGGCCAAATTTCCGTTGGAAATTAACGTTTCCAACGGATTTATCCATTGGAATTTCGTCGTTAGAAATCGGTTTCCGTTGGAAAACCGTTGGAATTTTCAACGGAATTTCAACGAATTTTTCCGTTAGAATTTTCCAACGGATTTCCAACCGGCATCCGTTGGAATTTTTCAACGGATTTCCAACCGCAATCTGTTGGAATTTTCCAACGGAATTTCTAACCGGTATCCGTTGGAAAATTCCAACGGAATTTCCAACCGATACATGTTGGAATTTTTCAACGAAAAATTCAAAACATATTCTCGATCCCGACCCCGACCCAACCCCAACCCTGACCGCGAACCCGACCGTTGGAATTTTCCAACGGAATTTCCAACCGATATCCGTTGGAATTTTCCAACGGAAATTTCAACCACATTCCGTTGGAAAGAATTTTCCAACGAAAAATTCTAAACATATTCCCGACCCGACCCCGACCCCGACCCCGACCCCGATCCGACCTAACCCGACCCGACACCGACACCAACCCGCCCCGACCAAACCACGATCCTGAAACTCACTTCCCAGTAGGTCACCCATCCTTCCACTGCTCCAGCTCAATCCTCCTTAACCCTAGAGTTCCAATTAGAACTCTTCCAACTCCTCCAAGTTAAACTTCTGATATCATATAACATTAATATATATACATATATAAATATTTATACATATTTATATATTTACATATTTACATATATACATATTCAAATTCATATATATATATTCAAATTAATATATATATATATATATTTGTTATGTATATATATATGGTTAATATATATATATATGCACGTATTCGTATACATATATGTGTATTTATATTCGAATTCATATAAATATATGTCCTTTGGATTGTTATTTTATACCTGCAATTAGCAGGAATATTATTTCGATTTCATGTTTGGATTCTGATGGTTTTCGTTTTGTCATTGAGAACAAAACTTTATCTAT